TGATAAGGTGTTAGTAAAACTGTGAGACATATTCCGATGATACTGTCATAGTGATAATAGAATCTGCTGTAACTGTATTATCAGTATTGAGCTTGGCTCAAGAAGATGATCATCTCGTGGCCTTAAGCCTGCAAATTGAATTGTTAACGATAAACCGAATTCAAGATGCTAAAATGTTGGAACTGCGGAGGGGCTGCGGCCTTGAAACGATCCGAAGACAGTAATGCAGTGTGCAGAAAGTGCTTCATTGAACATTTTGAGCTGGTAAATTTTGTACTGAATCTATGCACTGTGTAAGGATTTACTTCCGCATATTTTTATCCCATATGGACTGAATCTCTTGCTCAAAACTGTGCTTCAAGTTGAGAACTTCATCGCGGATTTCTGAACAAGAACATTAGATATTTTGGAAAATATTTTCTCTTAACATTCTGTGAAAGTAGAAAACATTCACGAATCTTTCATATGAATAAGATGTCGAATGCATGCCAAACCAATTTACAGAAGGTTCATGAAACAATCTCAAAAAATGAGATATTCAAACGTGGTGAACGTATAGCAATTGGTGCATCTGGTGGTAAAGATTCAACTGTTTTAGCCTATTTGCTGAATACCTTGAATAAGCGATATGATTATGGAGTGGAGCTGATCCTCCTTTCTATTGACGAAGGCATCAAAGTAGGTGTTTCGTTGATAATGTAATTTGAACCAGATCAATTCAAGATATCCACGTGAATTGAGTGTTAATGTCGGTGAAAGACAGTCATAAAGTCATCGTGAAGCTTAAATCCTCGAGCAGAATCTCAAAGCCCAAACGTATGGAGCTATCGAGCGAAACACCCTTTGAAGTCTCTTTCCATTAAGAAGGAAAGCACATTTCATTTAGGCAAAACATCTCAGAAGTCTCAGAGCAGTCAGCAGTATATAGCTAGACAACTTCTCAGGCAACAAACAGATACATTTCCTTTCGTGGTTCCTTCAGTGCTTCAGAATTCTTTTTTTCGTACGCTGAAGGAATTCAATCGAACAGT